GACCAAATCACACCTGTAATAGGTGTTGTCAGTGCAGGCCTCATGAACCTGAACGATGATGAAGACATGTTGGAAATGGGAGCGAATGGACTTTGGAGTGAAGGGCAGAGCGCCTGGCTCCTGGAACACGATCGTCACGATGTCGTTACCGATGTGCCGTTTCCTCAGCAGCTAATGTGACACAACCAAGACAGGGAAATTCATTAAGCAAGCAGGCCCGAGTCATCAGAGTAAAATACAACTGAGAGGAGAGATCATTTCATCTCACTGAAACAGTTTGAGAGGCCTGCAAAAGAAACTAATCAAAGTATGTTTTCTTTCATTTCTTGCAGTTTCGATGTTCAATTGGACTGATATGATTTTATTTTACCTGTCAACCCATAGAAATGATTCTGTTTGGCTGCTATTATTTACTGTGTGTGGTGTTAAGTGTATACACTGATTATATGCATTCTGTTTTAATGTGGACTCCAGGGAAAGTAGTTGTTGTCAGAGAAACTACTAACGAGGAACCAAATAAACACGCACACAAAATCTAAACTGTTTAATAAAATCATGGTTAATTAGTTTAAAAACATTAAGTTAAAGTAAGGTAGCAGCTAAAACAAATAATAAAATAAGCAGTTTTCATTAAAATACCCTTGCACAGCCTTTTTTTTTATTTAAGTTTCTTCCAAGCATGTAAAACTAAGAAAATTGATATTACGAAAAACAAAATTGATTCGACATTTCAACCAATACGCATAAGACATCACAACATTCCAATAGTACATGCTTGAAAGGGAGTAGGAAGAAGTATACACTTATCTAGTCCTACCCCCTTTCTTAGCCTTAACCATACTCTTTCTAGAGTTTTTAGCGCAACTCAATACTGGACAAATGCTACAGCTTGGAAGATTACAGAATTTTGTAATTTCAAGGTCATGATAATCGATAATATTAATGTTTTTGACTCAAAAAATACTTCTTCTTTCAAAATCAGCAAAACTAGAACTGAAACCAGATTTAAAACACAAGTAATAAATACTGAATATTCAGTATATTGTACTGTTTAATTAAAAATCACAAACTGTAGTCACCAGAACTTGACGGATCAGTAAAGCGGAGCCTCAGCGGCATTTTTCTTTTCAGAACGGAGGTGAAACATTCAGTGAAATCTAACTTGGTTTTGAAAAAAAAAGTATATGCAGGTCAAAGAACAAGAAATGCAGACTGAGCGTCATATCTGTTTTGTTAGTGTTTATTTTACCTGTTGTGTGTTGTTGGCTGTGTAGGGTAGCATAGTGGACACGTGAAACATAATCTCGTAGTCCTGGTAACGGGTGTAGAGGGAATGCGTCCCAGTTGAGTCCGCTGCACAAGCACAAGACACACAGAAACACACACATCACACAAAAGATAGCCAGGTAGCGATTTAGCAAAATCAGTAAAAGTCTGAATGAAACCTCAAACTGTCACAGTAACAGGTTGAAATCGGTCCCATTCGCTGTTCTCTGCTGCTCACTGAAGGGAAAGCAGCTCTGAGATAATCAGGAGTGACTATGCCATTTTGCAGGCATTACTCAGATTACATGTGGCTAGATAGGAGTTATCTTAGGCTGTCAGTAATGCAGTGATGCCCTCTGGATAATGGTACTGCGACAAGGTGAGAGGCAGCCAATAGATCTGGGTGTGGTGCGTGCTTTCAGCTCACTCCTGTTGTCCAGCTGAGCTCGGTATTTCTCCCAGCCCTTCAGCCGCACCCGCTCCCCGAGCAGATCCAGAAACTCCTCAAATGCTGGCCCAGAGCTCTCGTTGTTGTACATGTCTTCCTCTGAGCTCTGCCCGGCCCGGCAATACATCACCCCAACCTTCCTCTGGAAATTCAGCTAGATCAGAAGGCAGAGATAAAAAAGTTTATAACTATCCTGTTAAACCTGCATATTTTCAAGGCCTTCAAGCCTTTTCACCAAATGGAGAATCCTCATCATTTGATCATCTCTCTTTACAGCTCAAAAAGGTTGTTATACATTACATTATTAACCCTATCAATTCTCTTCAGCTTTTATGTCAGACTTTAAATGATTATCAGCCTCTGAAACACAATTTGAGGTGTCATAATAATGACTGACATTATTAATAAAATCACTAATAAAAATTCTAAAAGTTTTATTACATTTTAGTCTGTAAATAAGAGATTAAATGTAAATTACTCCAGTCTACTCCAGTATAAAGCAATGCAACACAGCAATAAAGATCTCCTGCAGGCAAAAAAGTGTAGGTTGAGGCCACAGCTTCTTGTACGTGTCCTTTTTATAGTACACAACCCATTTAGGTAATGTAAAAAAGTAACATCGGACAAAATGATCAGCTGCAGTATGTTGAGTGAACTGTCATCTTAATATAACTGCACGTTCACAACTAAACACATGCTCAGCCACTGGGGTCAGCAGACGGCACATGTAGATTTTCAGTTACAAAGTCTGGAGACACACTCCAGTCTGAGCTTTAAAAAAAAAAACAGCTTTCTGATGGTATCTGACACTGTTCAGTATCCTGCAGTGCGTTCTGACTGACACATGCAGCAGTCTTTAGTGTCAGAACACATGGCCTCACTCACCCCCTGTTCATCCAACTTCAGCAGGGTGTCCCGGACTTTAGGGGAGTTTGAGGCCAAGCGAAGGCAGTGCAGGTTCAGTTCAGGCATGATGAACTCCAGCAGCCTCTTGGGAGACAAGCCTCTGGGGGTCGTGTGACGAGCAGCAGATGGCACTGACTCCTCAAAGATGGAACCTCGCAGCGTCTTCATCTAGGGAGAAGATTTACATTCATCACAGTCAAATCAGTTGTACATAGGAGAACTTTGAGGAGAGAAGAGTGTTGGTTTACCTCTGTGGTGCGGAAGATGATTCTGTAATTGTACTGAGCTCCACTGGATCCTTCTTTCTCCTCTCGACGGAAACTGATGGCCACTGGGCCAAGGCGATCATCCATGCCAAAAAAATTCTGGTGTTCTGTGATGACAGGTCACATAAGCACATAATTGTGAAGAGCAATAATGTCAGTCCTGGACAGGGTCAAAAAACGGTGACAGCATTGCGTTTATATGAAACCAATAAAAAACTCTATGAAATAAGTGGGGGTGGAGGGTTTGCCTAAATGTCACATTTGTTTTTATAAAAACCAAGATGCTCCTCAGTGGTACTGTTATTTTCACCCACTGTCAAAACAGGACCCAGGGGCTAATTCTGAGCCCTGGTACAGAGAGAGGACCACTGTCCTGTGCGTAAGCCAAAGAACCCCTTCATTAACTGTGGTGCACACAAAAAGAGAATCAACAAAGCCTAAAGTTGATTTCCACCTACCTTTCATGTAGAAATATTTGCGATAGTAATGGGCTCCAAGATCTGCATGTTCTATAAAGTAGTTGCTTTTGCCCTGCTGTTGCACGTGACTCTCTCTGGGCTCCTCCAGGACTGACACAGCATCGTTGGGGGTTCGCAGGCTCGACCAGAGTCCCCGCCTGCCCTGAGATTGACCCAGACCCACCTGCTCTTCTCCTCCCGTCTCATTACGGAAGTGAGGACAACTGAGCAGGAGCTCATTATCATTGCCATCCCCTTCGTCCAACAGCAGCGACTGCTCAGGGTCATCTGCAATCCCCATGCCGCCTCCCCCACCCTGCGCAGGTGAGGATGGGGTGGCCTGGGAAACAGGGCGCAGCTGGGAGGCAGCTGAAGCCCCTGAGGTGATATTCTTTTTCCGCCCAATGCTGTCTCTGTTAGTGGCTGCCTCAGTGAGGTCAAACAAAATGCTCTGAACATCATAGTGCGCAAAGTTTCTCACCCATGCCCCACCGCCAATGTTGTCATTTGGACCCAGCTGAGGGATCTGAGGGGGTTTGGTCTTCTTACTTAGACCTTCAGGCTTTGGCGGCTTGGCAGGTTTTGGTGATTCTCCTGTGGAAACAGACAGGCCCCGAAAAAAACCATCAGGCTCTGGAGGGTTGCCCTGCAGTCCTAAAAGCAGGAAAGGGTCTTTGAAGCGGAGGGCACATGGACTTAGGGGCCCCTGGTCATCTGTGCTTGGTTCCTGGACTTGCGTCTGTCTTTCCAGTGAGGACAGGCTGCCGTATTCCCTGTGTAGCAGCACACCCGAGTCCCCCTGAGCTCCTGCACCTACCTTTTCACCAACTGCCCGAGCTGCTTTCCCCCCTGTTTTCCCAGAAGGGTCCAAGTCTCCTAAGGTCACATCACTGTTACTTCTCTGCATGATGTGGCCCCGACCCACCGACCTCAGGTTCAGCCCCACACGACTTGGAGTGAGGCTGTCACCATCAGCTCCATCACCGTCCCTCCTGGGTGGCCACTCCACCACACCTGCTTCACGTTTGGGGTCAAAGTTGACAGTGGCAATAGGCGGCCGCATGTTCTGACGGCGAAACTTGCGTATGAAAAGGTCATCTGACTGCATGGTGTCTGAGAGACTGCCTCAAGTCCAACAATCTTTTCTCCACTTTGGTCTAGAGCTTTGTGCCCCCTCAGTCAAATTTCTGTCCTGGTCTCTATGGTGCTGGTGTGAGACAGGAGTGCTGTGTATAAAGATGAAAACCCCTTGGAATGAAAGCAACAAATATAGTCCTCATTCACACCAATTAAGATGGTTGATCTTCCTCAAACCTTGGGCTCTCATAGATTTCTCTGTGGTGTCACAATTTGTTTTTGCAAGTCAACAGGTTCTAAGTGTAAATGAAGAAATCTGGGGCAAACGTTTAAGCTGATTCTCATTGCAGGTGTCCTTCCAGGTATGCAGATGTGTATTTAGGTGCTACTCCTGTTACAGGGTGCCTCTTTCTGAGGAGAGTGGAGAAGAGGATCATTACTGGAGCCTCTGTCCTCAGTGCAAAAGAAGTTCGGTGTGCATCAGCCCCTCTAACATGATGTCCATTCATCTGCACTCTTCAGTGCCTGCAGCTTCCTTTTCGGTCTTGTCCTCTGTCCAGCTGTGCATAAACAGAAACAAAAAGTATTTTTAAACATCTTTCTCATCCATGCTGCTAACAACTTAACAGACCGCTTTGTATTCAACCCACAGCAGCTTGTCAGTGAGTACTCAAAAAAAAAACTTTGTGGAGAATGGCCCTGATAAACAACTACTGAACAATAAAGTAGCAGGCAGATCTGATGTGTGTTTTACTGTTGAGTAATGCTTTGTACCTCTGTTTTCTTTCATTATTATTCTTTCCTTCACACACACTTTCCGTTCCAAACTTTCCCTAAATAGTTCCATAGCAGACTTAATACTCACCACATCCACCCCACACATGATCACAATAGACAGTATTAAGGCGGGGGGGAGGCCTTCCTGGCTCAATCACCGTCTGTCTCTCACCCTCATGTACAGTATATACACACAGATACGGTTTTGTGATCTACTTCTGCACCTCTATTAAAAAGAATATATAACTAATAATAACAAAAACATGATTAATAACCATCAATATAATGTTTTGGAACAGCAGTTAAGAGACTATTATTTCCACTGTGTCAATAGAGTGTGAAGCACCGTTCTTCCCTTTTTTATGTCATGTTACAGTTGCACTATTAATCATTATAGTTATTTGAAACTTACCAACAAAGCAGATTTTGTTTCAGGTTTACAAATCAGCCCTCTTCTGTCATCATCTTTCGCTGATACCCTGTCTCTGACCAAACTGACGTCAATCAACTCAAGCTGAAACCTTTTGTCGTTCTCAGTAAGGCATGAGGCTTCTTCCTGTCTAGCTATTTCACATGCATCTCCTCTCTCTCGCTTGCAGCCTAAAGAGCAGGTGCAGTGGTGCAGAGCTGTTACCAGAAAAGCTCGCCAGCTTTAAAACACACACACACACACACACACACACACACACACGCACGCACACACACACGGCGCTCTCTTGCCCCTTACCCTAACCTTAACCATCACAACCACTTCCCTAACTTGAACGTGATCCTTTACCTGAACCCTAAAATGTCCTGTCAATAGTTTTGAACTAAATGTCATCCACATTAACGCAATATAAATATGCTATAAATTAAGGAAGTCACAGAAATCTGTT